ATCTGGGTCTGGCCTTTGCTGTAAACTGGGGAAGGAGGGGCCCAGCTGAGTCTCTTTGAACCAGGGGTTTTTAAAGTCTGTTGAAAAGGTTAGACCAGTGGACTGCAGACCTCTCTGGGAGCAGGAGGGGCATGGAATGACTTGACTTGAAGAGGGGACCAGCACCACAGACCACAGGCTCAGGTCCTCCAACTCTCTCTCTCTCTTTCTATCTATCTCAGTTATCAGGAAATTCTTTGTTGTGCTTTGGTCTGAAGGAGAAACATTTGTTAAAAACACAACTTGTTTTAAAATGATCCAAATTTAATCATTTGAAGAGAAATAGGACATGCAATGCCTGTATTTAATTCCATTTACGTATACATTTCTCTCGTTTGTGTTGGTAGGACAAAAACTGAAGCCATCGAGGAGAAGCTCATCAGGCTGAGTCCCGACAGCTGGAGGGAAGAGAAACATGAAGCCACTGTGGCCCGTCCAGAGCTGGTAGGTTACAGGGACGGGCCAGCTTGTCTCGGCCAGGCCTGCTGAGCCAGTGGGAACTGAGGTCAGCGCTTATGAATCATTTGTCAAAGTCTGCAGGGCTTTAACGGATCATTATAGCTCTAAGTACGTTTATATCACAAAACATGTGGCAAAGCTGCAAAGGATTCAAGCCCTAACACAATCTGCACTGACATTTAAAAAATACAGATAAATCATAAATCATAAAGCAGACACTTGAGAAAACCATGCCATTCATTACTGGGCATTCTAGAAACTTCTATATTGTTTATTTCCACAAACATTTAGAACCTGACAAAGCCTTAGACTACCCTCCTTCTTCCCCCTAATTTTCCAATGAGTTGTAAAAATAGCAAGTATAATCATCATTTGAAAAACTGGTTATCGACTCCATCCATATAAACAGACAACTAGAAAGTAATCACAGCTTGTTTTATAAAACCCATTTCTGAGTAAAAATATCTTGAGCTGTTCTGAAGACTCTACATGTACACATGCAGAGACGTGCCTAAGGGATAGTCTAAACCCCGCAAAGCAAGAGAAGGCATTTTACAGCAAGTGACATCAGGCTGCAAACAGCATCCATTTTGCTCCATTTGGCAGCAAGGTCACATGCTAGAAAACACATCGCAACATGAATGAACTGTGAAATTGTTTCCTCCTACCCAACTCCTCCAAATTGTATTAGATTATGTTAGCCATTTCTACACCTTGTCATAGAGGCTATCGGCCTCCCAAGAGACAATGTGGGTAGACAATGGAGGCAAGGGTCCCTGCAGTTGAGATGCTGCCTAAATACCAGTCAGTATCTTAGGAAAAAAACAATGGGAAACATCACACCCATGTCTAACAATGCAAGAGGCACCAGCTTTATTGAAAACCTATACGTGCAAGGAATTATGATGAGGTGAACCATGTGTATTTCAATTCCTAGACTGTAAACATTCAGGAAATGATTACCTTTGTGTCTCACCTCTACCCAATGTCAAGCATTGCCCTACAAGTGTAAGTGAATTCTTTTACTCTGAGGAAAACAGTATATGAATATATGCAGTGTTTTAACTATTTTCATTCTACTCAGCTCTTCAAAACCCAAATTTGCCTGCTTTGTGGATTGCATACTATTTTGAACTTTAATCATAAAAAACTATGAAGGTAATTATATTGCAGAAATAAAAATCTTTTCAGAATAAAATGTAAATGAAAGGCTTTGGGGATATTGGCTGTTCTTTTACATCAATGAAGTTAATTGAAAGTTGACTTTCTAAATATGTATGTAGGTAGGTCAGGAGGTATGAGTTATATAACTTAAGAATCTTAGGTCTCTGGATACTGCAGATATTTCACTGAAGCTTATGTGGCCATTTTCCCTCCCACAGGGCACTGCTACACTCCTCTCCAGGCCCTGCCTGTGCACGTGTCCCCGGCACCGGCATGTCTGCATCGCTATGACCACAGCCACATTCCACCCAGGAAATCAAGAGCCCCATGCTTTTCGATTTTGTTCAGAGCTTCTGTCTGCTGAACTTTTAATTCAAGATTCAGGTTAGGTGCTTGTTTATCCAAGAGGGTAGATTTAGAGACTTACCTTCTCATTTTTAAATATTTATTTTTTTCATATTCATTATCACTATTTCTGAACTTTAAAATTTAACTTTAAAGTTTTGTATTTTAGAGTCTAAAACATGGGATACTATCTGTAAGAAATACAATAAATACAAATCTTAAGAAGAATCATAGCTTTCAATTTTGTTAAATTATGTGTATTACATAATTCAATTTGTCCCATTTTATATGATGATCTATGCTGACCTCCTAATTTTATCATCTTTTTAATTTATGGCCCAAGAATGCCTTTCTGCCAGTTCTCTAAGCTGCTGAATGTATGAGCCAAGAGCCAAGCAATGTAATCTTGGGGTTTTCTAAATAGCCCTGGAACAATGCTCCAGAAAACTGGGGGATGACCTGCCGGCAAATAGGGTTAATGGCATTTATTTTTTGTTCTGGAAGTTTGTTTTTAATTTTATTATGCAAAATGTAAATTAATTTTTTCTGCATAAATGAACATTTAATTGGTTAAATAAAATATACTATCTGTTTAGTTAGTGAATTTTCCTATATTCTGTCTTTGAGAACTTAATTTTAAATGAGATATTTAAGGTCACATACTACTACATCTAAAGATTAATTAATTCATCCAATATTATAAAAATCTGTTTTCTATATAGGGCAGTATTCCCTTCAACAGTAGAACTGGTTTTCACATGTAAAATCTATAATGAGTCTCATCGCAGCCAGAGAATTTAAAGCTTCTCTGACTTCCGAGAGCATGTAACTCAGTTCCTTTCTATTACACATGAGGGTGTTCATATTATTAAATGAGGTCTGGACAGGCTTGTCTGAGATCATTTACTGTGTTAGTAGCAGAATTAGAATGAGAATTAGGGTCCTTTTCTCCTTTAATTTAAACAAAAGTTACCACTTTTTAACATATCCTATTATCACTTTCATTTGTTCAGACTACAAATTTTGACTTTGTTATAATTTAGACCAAAGTTGGATTTTCAGTTACCTTGAAACTTGACTCATATACAGAAACATGTTTGTTAGTCAAATCTAGATGACCTGCATGCCTTCAAGGCACATATTCACATATCAAGAGACGACTGATGTTGATATGTTAGAACCCCTTTCACACATTTACTGAAATTGCAATCTCACTTCCGAAACTATTATTGTATTTATTCATGATGGTGACGATTCCCTCTATTAGATAACATGAAAGAATGACCAGATCAAGTGTACAGACCAGGAATATTAATAAAGAACATTTACTTTACCCATGTCATGAATATTCTGGGCCCCATTAAAAGCCCTGTAAACTGTGTAGGTGGTCTCCTGGCAGCCATGGCTTTGATTGGCTGTTCATTGCTGATTAGACCAGAGTGGTTGCTTGGCTCAAGCTACATCAATTACATTTTCCTTCCTGGAAAGTAGGAACTGGATTCAGGCATAGCCTACCAGCTTCAGTGTGTATTTTGAACTGTAACATGTGAACTCAAGAGCTGTCGGACAGCTCTGTGCCTGGGAAGCAGAGAAAGTTCAGCGAGGAGAATGAAGCAGACCGAAGAGAGCACGTTTCAGGCCCCTCCTGAGGTCTGGTTGCCCTTGGGTTCCAAGACATAGCCTATATTCTTATTTCACAAATCCCTCCTGTCTCTTTCTTTTATATCAGCTAAGTTGTTTTTGACATGTGCAACCAATGAGTCTAATTCAGACACTCAGACACGCTGTAATAGATATCACACTCTGGAGCCAGAGCTACGCTGCCTTCGTTGGTGCTCTGGCCCACTCCCTGGGCAAACCACAGGGCAGGCGGAAGAGCTCGATAATGAGATGCATATGGCGATGCATATGGCTAATGAGATGCATTATAATAACTAAGACCTTGTGTGTGAAGCTCAAGATAGACTGATTTTTTTTTTTTTTTTTTTATCCTCACCCAAGGACACCCTTCCATTTTTTGTTCAGGTAGAGTGGGAGGGAGAGAGAGGAACAGAGAGAGAGAGAGAAACATCGACGTGAAAGGAACACATCGAGTGGCTGCCACCCGCACGACCAACCAGGGCCGGGGACAAACTGCAACCAAGGTACGCGCCCTCAGCGGGAACCGAACCCGGGTCTCTCAGGACCGCAGGCCGACGCTCTAACCGCTGAGCCAAACCGGCCAGGGCGATAGACTGATTTTTAATAAATTCCTAGTATATAACAAATAGTAATAAAGTATTACTGATTTATATAGATAAACTACCTTATTTGGCTGTTTATTAGAAAGCCATATGATATTACACGTATTTTGAAACTGAAATTCAGATTTTCTTGTCCCTAATTAGACTTTGTTGACAAATAAAGTATTTTCTATATTGACAAATGACTCATATATCAATGACATTTTAAAAATAATAAAATAATTTTGAGATTTTGAAATTATAAAAAAGAATAGCCATTTAAACTTGTATAAACTATTTTGGTACATTTAAAGGTACCAGGTAATATAAACAAGATTTATGCCTAAAATGTACTAAACATCAAATACCTATTAAAATGGAATATCTTAGCAAATAGAGTAATAATGGATAAATTAATACTTAAAGAGAGCTTGCTATGTTGCCAGGAATTGTGCTAAGAATTTCCCTTGTATTTATTCATTTGATCCTCCCCAAAACACTATGAGGAAATTATGATGCCTGAATTTGAGTTAAATGACTTGCTGAATGTCCCACAGATAGTAAAAGGAGGAGGTGCTGTTTAAACCTAGGTAGGCTGTTAACCACTACACCATAGTCTGAATAAGAAAAGTAGACTGAACTAAGACTTCTAAAAAAAAGAACTTTGTAAAGTTCTTTGGATGTTTTGAAAAACAATTTCATGAAACCAAGAAATGCATAATCTTCTAACTAATATTTAAATAAGGAATTTAGATTATGAATGATTCTTACCGGGGGTTAGAAGGAGAAGGTGGATTCATTTCTTTCTGATAGTGCCGACCCTGGTTGACAGGCTGTAAGAGACCAAGCATCTGTGAGTAACTAATCAGCATCATAGCCTTTCACAGGCACTCTCATTATTGTACTTTTCCCCCGAGAAATAATATGCAAGAAGGGGCTGGCTTATTTCATAGACGAGCTGAAGGCTGTTTGGGAGGTTAAGCTAATAACAAGGTGATGTATCTGAGAAAACACCGGTCATTTTAATGTCCAGTCACTGGACTAGATAGCATCTATGGTGTCACCACAGTTCATGGCAGAATCCTTCTCCCTGTAGAATTTTATGCTATTCACACTGGTTGATATTTCCACATGCAACCTCATTGAATTAATGCTGCATAGCAAGTATAGGCAATAACGCGGAGACCGGGGGACATAGAATATATATTTATATCTCAATGTTAGTAAGTTCGCAAGGAGAACTTATGTTTTCATTAATGGAATTATTACACACGTAAATCTTAGTTTCAAGTGGTCGTTTCCCCTAGGTATATAATAAAACCTCAAGCATTAATCAATGAGCTGAAAAAGGTGATGCCAATACCAAGCAAAAACGTGAAATCTCAACTTTTCCCTCCACAAGAAACCTTTAAGTTACTGTCCATTTCAAACACAGCTAAAACACCATATCCATGTAAGCCTCAGCTTGCTCCCTTTGGGACTTTATGCCTTTCATTTTTTCTATAAAGGGAAAAAATTCCATTAGACCTGATACAAATTCTGCTTTCCAACATCAGCTCAAAGTATTTTTCCTATGTGATTAACAACCATGTAATTGTAGTATGAAAATCATTTTTAACGTTCTCATTTTATTGTGAGTTGGAATTTTTTTATCCTCACCTGGGGACATTTTTTTTTTTTTGTACTTATCTTCAGATAGAGCGGGAGGGAGAGAAAGATGAAGAGAGAGAGAGAGAGAGAGAGAGACATCAACATGAGAGAGACATATCGAGTGGTTGCCACCCACACGACCCCAACTGGGGCCAGGAACAAACTACAACTGAGGTATGTGCCCTTAGCAGGAACTGAACCTGGGACTCTCTGGTCCACGGGCTGACCCTCTAAATGCTGAGCCAAACCGGCCAGGGCTGGTATACATTTTTGAATTGCATTTAAAAAGGCTTCAGTTGGTTCCTTACCCAATGGGGCTGGCATTAATGTTTTCTCACCCATAATGTGACCCCACAGCGCTAACATCATCAACCAAGAAAACAGTAGAGCAATGGTGCCTGTACAGATAGAACACATATTCTGTGTTCCCACTGCAGAGTAAACTGTCTTCCTTCATAAATAATGTCTTGGAAGTGTTCCTTTAATTTAAATTGAACACCCTGTACGATGACCACAGTCACTTGGCCTGACTATCCATGATATACCATAAATTTAAATGTACTCAGATACTTGGGTAATTGAAACAATATCAACGGATCACCATTTCAGTAATAAGAAACAACAGCTGGGAGACCAGTGGAAGGAAAAACATGTCATAAGACATATTTGATCTCACTAGAGAAATAGGACTTTTAGCAACCTGCAAGTGAAATTTAGTTCTATGATTTAGGCTTTATTATTTCACAGGAAAAAAGGATTAGCACACAAAGTGCCTAACAGGCTCTCTGGACCAACTCATACTGGTGCAGAAATACTCCCGATAAAACCTTCACTGCTGTTCCAGTATTTCAGCTGTACTCAGGCCTCCAGTGAATGGACCTCTGCCTCTTTACTTTCAGAGGCATTTCCATGACTCTCTAACCATCACAGTCCTGACATTCAGCCGAATTTCTATTTGCTTAATTTTATACCGTTAATTCTATTTACACCTGTCCCCAAACCCCTTATTTCAAATGCTTTAATCATCCTCTGAAGAATAGAAATGGCTACAGAATCCTATCTTGTTTGTGACTCAGCTGTCACTTAGACTACATAGATGGCCCTTTCCATGTTTGCTCATGTTTATATAAAACAGATCCAAATGATACAAGGAATAAAAAGGAACACAATTAATAAAAGATTCACACTTATAATGATTTTTAAGTATTAGAAAACAAAAGAACACTGGAAAATTTTTGAAGTAGTAAGGATTATAGACATGAATAGATAGAAAGGTAAATAAAAATATTCACTTAAAATTGCAGGCAAGGTAACTTGGTCTGAATACCTGATTTCTTAACTTAATTTGTACTATTGAAAACTAAAGACCAAATTGTTACTTAAAATATTTTTATTCAATAATCAACTTAAATTTAGTAATAGCATATAACAGCACAGCATTCTGACTTACATATGTAGCCGCTATAAATGGACTTATAAACCCCACTGCCAACGACTCAGTTGCAGAAGGATCCAAGTGAGTACCATACAAAACTGGGTGGCCCCACTTCCCTTTCTCTGCGCATGTCTCCTAATTTCACATCCGATTCAGGGACAGGAAGGGATGATGGGAATGATGCAGCTAGAGCTCCTTCAAGGCATTTCAGTTTCCACGACTTTGCTATGATGCCTTGAAAGGGCAGAGCTTTCACTTGGATGTGGTCCTTTCCTAGGCCAAAATCAGAATGCATGAGAACGTGCCTAATATTTTCAAAAGCTCTCTGACCACGGTGGGGTGGGGGTGGGGAAAATAGGATGGGCTGGCTGAAGCCAGATGTCCCTATCCATGGCTGGAAATAGACAGGTTTCTGTACATATGCAGCAGTATACCTATTTCTACTATTTGAAAGCACCAGTTAAAAAACTAAATTTGATTTTAGAATGCAGCGATATTTAGAGAATACCGTAAGAGGAAGCCAAGGAATAGCAACCAATATACCTACAAATAACTATGACAATAACAGTAATGGCAGTAACTGACATTTATTGAGCACTTACTGTATGCTAAATCCTTGACAGATATGTCATTGGATTCCCACTGTAATTCTACGAACAAGTCCATCTAACAGAAGAGGAAATTCAGACACTGTTTTAACCAGGTCATGCCAGCCAGGAAATAGTGGAGCCACAATCTGAAACCAGGCCGACTGACTTCAGTTACTTCAATTACCCTCTAACCACTGGAGTATAGTCCTTAATCCAGCTAGGGTTCACCTGGAGTGGTGAGGACCTAAGTTTTTGAATAACAAATAAGACAAACTCAGTTCAGTTTACGTCAGGAAATAAAAAGTGGTCCTGAAATACATTTATATGAAATATATAAGACTACCTCCTTACCATAAATTATATTCATTTGATTTCATTCTTATGATATTTTACTCTATATTTAAAATAAAAGAAAATAGGTTTTGCTACATTGCTAAATTTGGGACAAATATAAGATGTAAAAGGAATACTTTGAGAATGAGGAAAGTCTGTTTCGTGAGGTGACTTTCCTAGTCACTAAAACTTGCACATTTCAATATTTTCTCCTGGCAGCTCAGATATTACACTGACTCCAACAGCAGTTTTCATATATCACTTCTATAGTGGCATAAGACATCTGTTTATCTGACTTATCTGCAGTTTAGCACAATCAACTACTTACTTTTTTAGTTCAGGAGGATTAAACGAAAACTCATTATACCTAAAGACAGCTGAGAAGTTAATGAATCTATAGATCATAACAAATTAAGATCTATTAGAGCTTTAAATGCCAATATATTGTATATTATATATATTGGACACACAGCAGCCAGCAATCATCAGGTATAGCGCTGACAGGCTGATGAGAAAAATGGAACGGATCCTAGAAACTTGGACCTCGTCCTCTTGGTGGCGCTGTTGCTATGCACTAGTGTTGGAAAACCACAGGCTCATAAAATTAACTACCACTGAGCACAAAAGCAGCTTTGCTTATACATGATCAAGTCGCTAGAAATTTGGGGGTGAGGGAGAGAAATAAAGGCTAAATAAGAGAATGGGAGTTAAGATAATCCTGTCATGTTAAAAGGCAAAGACAATATTTTCATGCTGTTATGTAAAAATCTATGAAAATGGCAATAATGTTACAAGGTTAATCAAGACCATAAATAACTTGTCTGAGAACCTCACCATATGTCTGTAATTTTATTAAGTGCATTTTGCCTTGTTTTTCTCCAAATATGCTCTGCAATGTGCCATTTGATGGATGCATGTGATGAGTTTATTTTGAAATGAGCTGAGGGACTAATATACTTGGTATTAGGTTATGGGATTCCTAACCTGAAGGCATGGTGGCTTTGGGGCATCTGCTCACAGCGCAGCAAGCACACGGGACAGAGAAATAAGGAAATAATGAAAGAATTTACTTTTAAAGATTGAGGGGGTCAGTCTGGATTCTAAGGGTTAAGCTCACATTACAAGGACAACAGAACCTCTGTCCACCTTTACAGCCTTCAGTGGCCATAAAAAAGGGAAACGTCCTGGGAATCTTTTCTGATCATTCCAGTGGCCCCTTGTGGAGAATAACTTTGGGGAGCAGCAGGTTACAGTTAGCCTGAGCTTCCTCTGTCAGGCACAGGCCGCATGCGTTTCATGCTCTCATCCAATTCTCATCATGCCAATAGGAGGAAGGTTCTTCATTACTCCCGTTTTACAGGTGATAGTGCCAGTAATGGCAGAGCTGGGATACAAGCCCAGGTTAGCTGATACAGAGTTTATATTTTGGTCATCATATGAAGCTGTCTTCATTCATAACTATCCCTTTTTCTTAAAAAGAAACACACACACACACACACACACACACTACAGTTTTATGCTACTGTCAATCAAAACCCCTTACAAAATAAAATTCACTTAAAGCTCCATTGTAACCAACTCCTAACTCCTTGGGAGCTCCCCTCCCAAGGCTTGCCTGGAGCCCAATTTATGAATAAATCTCATGAGGGCTACTCCTAACAGAAACCCTCCAGAATTGATTACTTGTAGCTTGGTTTCCACGAAAGTTGTGAAGTATTGTCGCAATTGAATTTGGTTCTAAGTTAGAAACTTTGAAAAATTTGTCTGTCAAAAGCCAAAGGATTTCTCAGTAGGCTTGATTTATTTAGCAGGAGATCCCAACAAAAGCCAATCTGCTATGAGAAATATGGCTACATTTAACTATACCTTGAAATGACTAATTTATTATATCTAAACATCTTTTAAACAGTACATGTTACTCTGAATTGTACAGATGCTGAGGGAAGCTGAGGAATCAAAGCTTGCCGTAAACACAATAGAAATTGAGAAAGACTTCATTTCACTCTGTGTGAGCTTTCTGGTTTCAGACCGCCGTGTGTGTGAAGTCCTTGGATAAAGATGCTACGCTGAATGTGACCTGCCCAAGTCTCCTTTGGAAACTGTTGGTCATTAAGCCCTGCTCAGAGGGAAATTTTTCCTTCATGTGTAAATATAATACCCACTTATCAAATCTGGCATATAAAATATTACCTGCATCAGTCAGGATTTATTGAAGCAAAGAGCTCATACTTTTTTGAAGTTTTGATAAAAATGACCTTATTTTAGAGTACAAAAGGAGTATTTTAATATTATTGATGGATTATTCCACCAGGGAGTAATGACCAGTAGGGGCTGAGTGTGACCTCCTGCCAGTCTGTATGCTCAGGGTGGTCCTGCCTTCACGGAGCTCACAACCTGGTAACCAGGGCTGCCTGGTGTGTAAGTGCTGTCTGAGCCCGAAGGCACTGGGACCCAGAGAAGAGATCACTCTGCGCAGGGTGGCTGAGGGTCGGATGGGTTTCGTGAAGTAGTGCCATTTGAGTCGGGCCACAGAGCGTTTAGGAGAAGAGGGATGGAGGGTCTCCAGGCAGAAGGAAGAGCGTGGGCAACGGCACGACTGACGTGACCTGGATGAAAGGCCTGGCGCGCCGCAGTGTAGCTGGAGGATGGGGTAGCTAGTTCTGTGTGTGTGCTGGGTGGGAGGTGGGTAGTGATGCTGAGACAAGCCAAAACTCATTTCAGTCCGGTTCAAGGAGACAGAGCAGCAAAGGCACTGTGACGAGGTCCTCCTGTTAAAGGAGAGACTCCAACCTCACCATCACAGAGTGACTTCTGCTCCTGCTGGAACCTGGAATTTCTCTCTCTCTCTCTCTCCATGGTGAGTGTGCATTCCTGTTTCAACTCTGGTTTAACTGTGGCTTTCTCTGTGAAGCATCCCTGAAACCAACAAGTAGGATTAATGCTCCTCTCACTTGTTCCCAGAAGTCCTTATTCTATTATCACTCACCACCTGACCAACAGTGAGCGGGGCTCTCTGCGTCCCTCCAATTTGGTGAACATCTCAATACTGGGTAAAGCTTTATTAGTATCCCCACAAAAGTCCACAGCATGCTGTACACTCAGAACAAAATGCGAAATGAATGAACATGAGACAGACAAGCTGGGATGCGGTGAGTCATCACGGATGCTCCTGGCTCCCGTGGCAGAAAGGAAGGCCTGTCTCTTCCCAGTGATGCTGGAGGAAGCCCCAGAAGGATCTGGAGCCACGTCTTGTGGGTTAAACAGGTACAAGGTACAAGGATGTGTGCAGAGTAGCTTTAGGGAATCACAACTGGGCCAAAAGCAGGGAGTGAAAGGTGGGGAGCAGTGAGAGAGCAGACTAGAGAGGGGGGCAGGTCTCAGATCATCGAGAGCCCTGCAGGCTGACTAAAGAGGCAATGGGGCGCTATGAAAGGGCTTTATGCAGGGAAGAGAAAAAATCAGATCTGGACTTTAGAAAGATCATTAATGTCAATAATGATGATAAAAATCACCACTCACATTAATTTATTAAATGCTTATTATGTCTCAGATACTGGGCCAAGTGCTTTTCCAAGGTCATAGCTTGAATGTGAACCTTGGCAATATGACTTCAGAGCAGATGCTCCTAACCATCGGGCACGGTGCTTGGACTGGAGGTGCAGAGGGTTAGGAGACTGCTGAAGGATTCTGCACAGAAAGTAAAGCACCAAGGTTATGGTACATGTAGGGAGGGTTAGGAGGTAAAATGAAGAGAGGATACTCAGGATCCGGAGACCAAATGGGTCTGGACAGTGAAGGAGCGGGAGGGGTGGAGATGTCCCTCCAGCACGGAGGGTGGCGCCGTCCCCGAGCCACAAGAAAGCAGGGGACCACTGTGATAAAGTTCTGAGTTCTTTCCTTTCTTCTTTTTCATGGCCCCTGTACAACTTCTAAAGAGAAAGGTGTGAGCTCTCAGGAAGACCACACGGTTCTTGTAAATTGTTCTATTTAAATGCTCTATGAGCAACAAGATACAGAAGTTCATTAGGAATGCAATTTTGTTTGGTGATAGCTCCACAATTGAAATAGACCGAATGTGATGCAGTAATAAACATGTCTTATGAATACCAAAGGTAGGTTTTTCTGTTTATTATTTTCTCTGTCTAAAAAATAGACTGTTTTCAATTTCTCATTTGGTGAAATAGAGGGGTTATTAGGTTCATTATGAATGATGTTGGTTTCGGCCGTATACTGAGAGGGAAGTAGCTGTCATGCATGAGGACTTCAGTCCTCGCCAGAACAGGACAGTGATGAGAACACTGTATCCAGGGCAACCAAGAGTTCAGCCTTTTCAGTCCATAAATAATCATTCCTCAGCTTGCCCTTTGCAATGCTGCTCTCCCAGCTACTTCGTGACAGAAAGAGCTTGTTCAGGAGGCCACTGCATCCTTTCTTTCTTTTGGTTTAAATGCCTACTGAGGAATATTTTGTAAGAAAGGCAGTGTTTCAATTCCACTATAAATGGCATTGGCAAAAATCTGCAACTTGCACTGAGTCTTTAGCTCTGGCTGCAAGGATCCTCCGAGTAGCCAGCACACGGGGGTATTTTTGCTGGATGGGTAGATACTCTGGCACTGGGCTGCTGGAGGCATTATGCATGCTTGGCCGTTCAATTTAGTGAACGCACAACGAAGGCAAGAGAAAACCGGAGGTGGGCAAGGCGAGGAGAAAGAATACTAATGAAAAATGAACACCCCCCCACCTCCTTAGAGCCAATCTGAATTCCTCCTCCATGAAGACTTAGAAGTTCTTTCCAGAGCAGAAATCTCCCTCCTGCTGGGTACTGGTCACTCACTGACCGCCGAGTCTCATACAGAGCAGTCAGCGGGTCAGGGGTCAGGAGTCCCGCCACAGCAGTTCTGAATCACTTACTGAAGGGCCTCCGTCTGGTCGTCTGGAAGTGGGGCCTCCATCGTGCTGACCCCACAGGAGAGCGGGGGAAGTCAGACAGCACATGGAGGCCTCGCACCAGGGCCGCGAGATTGCTAAGATCTACAGAGACGGGGGAAACCTGGGAAAAACTGGCTTTCAAATTCAAAAAGGAAATAGTAAATTAACAAATACTTAATGAAATACTTAATACATAAGTTTGCCACTGCCAACTACACTTGAACTCAATCTTCATATAGTTTAATATTTTATGTAAATATGAATCAAAGTTACACAATTTTATATTTCCTTTCAAAAACTGCAGGTAAGAGAGTTACATTTACTTTTGGATGAAAGTGTATTTTAACACGATAGAGCTGATGTCGAACATGGCCTGGCAAGTAAATGCTCCATGGGCCTAGTCAGGTCCTAAAATGTCTCTAAATGCTTCATAACTACCATTATTATAAGAATGATTTTACTATGCTGCCTCATAACATTTCCTGAGCTGTACCGGACTGTTCTGTCCAAGTTTCTGCTAAGATCCCGAGGACAGTACTGTGGGAATGGACTGAGTCAGAACACCGGGCTCTGTTCTGGGATCCAATGACCAGGCGTGGAAGGTTGGGCCCGGATTTAGTTTCTGCACCTGAAACACAGAAGACTCTGACCTGCTCAGCTCCTCTGTGGCCCCAGTGAGGATGATGGGCCCGACTACAAGCGCTCCGCCTGCATCCGCCTGTACAAGCCTGAAGCCCCCGCAGTACCTGTCATGGCCTTGGGCAAACATCTGTGATCTCTACAGAAGGTTCTTTCCTGACCTTGTATCCAAGCAATACTCAGAATATTTATAGTCTCTTCCTCTTTGTTCATTTATTTAACAAATATCAACCCCTCCTATTTACCGCGGCCTATACTAGGAGCTGGGCAGCAACAGGATAGCTAGAATCTACAGTTAAATTATTCTTTTTTTCTTTCGACATATGGTTTTATATATCACCACACAATTATCTGAGGTTAAATAAGACCATTTAAGAAAAAAAAAAAAATCAATGCTGCCAAACCTAAAAGACTGTTTCAGAATGGGCTCTGAGTATCTGCTGTAGGGAGCGTGCTCATGGTGGCCTGGTTTTCCCAGGCAAGGCTGGGCTTTGTTCGGAAGAAGCTGGCCCCCTGTTATGGCAATCAACAAAGACGCAAAGCCCTGGACTCACAGGTGGCAGGCAGGAGTTCCAGGTGGTGGTGTCGTCACTGCTGGTACTTATGCTGACGTTACAGTTGTCCACCTGGGATGCACTCAGGCCATGGGAGTCCCCGGGGTCCTCCAGATCCTCATTCTGTTGCCGCCGCAGGCTTGCCAGCATTTGCAACTCGGATTCACTCATCTGGCTGGGTTGATAGTTTCTCCAGTCATATTCCTGACCAAGAAAGGAAAAAAGTGGCAGAACAAAGGGTCACTTGGCCTTCCTTAATTTTACAGGTTGCCACCAATTGCTACAGCCTTACCCCTTCAATGGCTCCCCAGTGACAGAGGTCACACCCGTAACACAGCTTTATTCTATGCCTACCCACCTGCCTGACCTTTCTGCTCCTGATATGTCAGCCATACTTGTGCTTCACTAAGAGTCTCTGAAGCGTCGATTCTGTCTGCCCGAGTCTGTGCCATGCTAGCCCCCGTCCCCGCCTGCTGTCTAACTGTATTTTAGGTCCAAATTACATGCTACTACCTTGTAGAAGCCTTTTCTGACAACCACCCTGGGTCTGTGCTCCTCCACATTATGGGCTCCCACAGAAGCTTAAAGTGTTCATTTTTAGCATCTATCACCACTGCAGTTAGTACCTGGTTCTGGCATTCACAGGCCGTCTGTGAGCTCTAAAAGGCAAGTGCCCTGTGTTACTCCCACTGCACTTCCTGGGGCTGATGCTCAACCAGTATCCGAGGACTGACTAAATAAACAAACATTCAAAGCAGTTTTTTTAACAAAAGAAAAGTCACGTCCCATAAAAATGTCCACTTTCCACGAAAATTCATGAATTTCATCCTTGTCAACATTATGACCAAATACATTCAACCTACAGTAAGACTGAGCATGACTAATGCTATTAAAAAGCCAATAAATGAAATAGGAACTGAAGTGGGAAAGTAAGGTCTGAAAGCCAGAAAGACCTCGCAATAAACACTTTTACTGATATGGACTTTACTATGCATGTAATCTGACAGGCACATTTTTTTTTTCAAGAATAGTACTGCAAATCTTGAGAGGCTAATATAAATATTCTTCCACTGTACAGGGAAGAAATTGGCACATGGAATTTTTAAAACCTCTTCTTTCTCTCTGACCTAAATCAAATTTGATAACAACTGTTAATTTCAACATTGCTAAAATGTTAGCATCGTATATAAACATTATGATTTATGCCCAGGTCATGCAATCTCTAATAGGAGAATTTGTAAGTATTTAATATGCTTTGAAAGTTCTTGGGACAAAACAGACATCATGAGAAGATGAACAAAATTTATATTCCAATAAAAAACACTGAAAAGAAAAAAGGGGAAGTAGAAATGATTTAAATCGAAAATAGTTGGGAGAGCAATAAATGCAAGAAAAGATGCTCAACATCACTGTCATTAGTGAAATACAAATCAACACCACAGTGAGTTACCATTCACATCCACTAGGGTTGTTGTAATATAAAAGACAGACAGTGACCAGTGTCTGCAAGAACATGGAGAATGGGAACCTCATACACTGCTGGTGGGAATGCAAGATGGTGCAGCCACTTTGGAAACCAGTTAGGCAGTTCCTCAAAACGTTACACCTGGGCCGTGTGGCACAGCAATTTACTCCTAGGTATATATCCAAGAGAACTAAAGACATGTGTTCATATAGACACTTGTAAACAAATGCTCATAGCAGCATTATTCATGATAGCCAAAAAGTGAAAACAACTACATGTCTATCAACTGATGAATGAATTTTTATTTATCCATACAATGGGATATAATTTAGCAATAAAAAGTAATGATGCACAGACACATGCTACAACACGGATAAACCTTGAAAACAGTATACTAAGTGAAAGGAGTCAGACACAAAGGCCACAGATTATATGATCCCATTTACGTGGAATATCCAGAATACGCACATACACAGAGACAGAAAGCAGATTTGTGGCTTGGGGGCTGGGGGAATGGAAGGTGACTGCTAATGGGTATGGGGTTTTTTGGGGGGTGGTGCTAATGTTCTGAAATTCAGTTGTGGTGATGGTTACAGAATTTTATGAATATACTAAAAACTCCTGAATAGTATACTTGGAAAGGGTGAATTTTATGGTATATAAATTGTATCTCAATAAAAAAGTAGTCAGTAATCAGATGTGAAAACAAGACCAGTTACTTAACTTTGGGCTCAAAAGGGATCAAGTGACTTGCTGTCCTTCTGTCAAGAAATGGAACTAAATGTTCCAATGTGTCACATAGGTGTTATTTGGCTTGTCATTGCCAATACAAGTTTTTAAAATTAAAAAGAAAGTTTTTTCATTTTCTTAAGAAAATCTCAACATGCAGGATGATGAGCCCATCACTCAGTTTATGTACTTAATCCACAAGCCTGTGCTGTGCCTGAGGTGCACCCCAGGTACTAGTGTGGGAAGAAGAGAGAATGGACAGCGGTGAAGCCAGCCAGATCCAGTCTGGGCCCGAGTGCCTCCAGTTACCAGCCGTACAGGACTGGGCGAACTAGCCAACCTCTGCGCCTAGTTTCTTCACCTGCAAAATGAAGCCGTCATACATACCTCAGGGGATTTTTGTTAGACTAAGTGAGATAATGTGTATCAAATGCTTAACACAGTACCTGACAAACTAAGGGTCTTCAAAGGTATCTTTACTTTTACCAGAAAGTGTTTTGAGTATGTACTTTCTAACATATGGACATTTATAAATTAAACACATGTACAACTATATTAAAATAGTATGGACAGTATAAAAACACACATAAAAAATTAAAATTAAAATAGTTAGGCTTAATAAAAAGGAAATAGTTTAAATTTTTTCTTCCTGAAGCCCAGTGGATTGTTTTCGACACGTCTAGGGTGAGCACAATCCTCTTAGTAGACCACTGAACTGGCGATCGATACATATGCTCCCTGTTATTATTATCCTTTCTTCCCATTTTACTGTCCCCCTTCGTCTAGTCTTCCATCCATTCTGTACTATGCTAGCAACTGGGAGTATAAAAAAATGAGACACACACCTGTCCTCACTGAGCTCACAGTCTAGAAAGGGAGGCATAGGGTTACTCTAAAGTGTGCTGTGAGCAATGCTACAACAGCGATACGTCTGAGATGCAGCACAGCAGTGACTAACTGCCCAGCAGAGTTGGGAAAAGCATCACAGAAGCCACAGTGGCATTTGATAGTAATTCAATTCATTGACAAATGGAACGAGTGGCCTTCAGAGGGAGCAAACTCTCTCCACCACCAGCAGGGGCGAAGCAGAGGCTGGGGAAATAACAGCTGGCAGAATATTGCAGTAGATTGATTGTTTGATTCATTAATTTATTCCACAGATACTTACTGAGACCCTATTATGTGCCAGGAATTCTCGATGCTAAGTTTGCATAGAATGTGTTTCCATGATTTTATTTCATACACAGTAATAATGTATTCTAATAACACCCTGGAAGGGGCAGCGAAAAATGAGCTGAGTCAAAGAAGTGACTTTCTCCAGGGTCATGAATAGAGCAACTAGTGGCAGAGACAGGTAATTAACTTAGTCCCTTGATACATTCTTGATTTGCAATCTCTTAAACCATATCTAAATTACCAGAAAGGATAAATTATTCTTTTATTTTTATTTTTAAAAAAGGCTTGCAATAAAGTCTTCACATTAAAGTGGACTTCAGCACAAGATGTCATCTAACTAAATTATGCAACTGCTGAGAGGCAAGGTGCTTTATGTAATTCTCTCTCTGAAAGGCTCAAAATGCTATGTATGACCCAATTTCATCTCAAAATATCCTTGGAGGAAAGAGGGAAGACTTTCTCAATCAGATGTTTTGGCAACAAGGTAATGGGCGCAGGGCTATATAATTCAGCTGTGCTCAGATTCCAGGCAAGCCCTTCCATCATGAAACCATTCAAGCCTTTTGTTTCATTGATTGGCAGACATTACTAGGGGACTAAGACAACGAAGACACAAACACAAGTAATATTTGGCCCCTGTTCTCCATTACAATCTAGTAGGACAAGTATAAGCAATTAAGAAATGAGCATAGCCCTGGCCATTTTGGCTCAGTGGTTAGAGTGTAAGCCCAAGGACCAAAGGGTTGAGGGTTCAATTCCCGGTACCTGGGTTGCAGGTTTGACCCTCGGCCCCGATGGGGGTCATGAGGGAGGCAACCAGTCAATGTCTCTCTCTCACATCAATGCTTCTCTCTCTCTCTTCCTTCTACTCTATCTAAAAAGCAATGGAAAAATATCCTCAAGTGAGGATTAAAAAAGAAAAAAAAAAGAAAGAAAGAAATGAGCATAAAATAAGGTAGCATATATGAAGTATAGTATTAATAATCAAACAGGATGCTGATAATGATTAAAAGGAAAACTAATAACTCCAGCAAAATCATAAAACACAAGAAACAAAAGTTTCAACTAGATGCCTTTCACTTAATCTCCTTAAGATTTTAAGACAGACGAGCTCCATCGATCAAACATCTACCCACAGGATTTTGCGAGCCTCAAAGAGGAATGGTGGGTGACACAGGCTAAATTTAGAACGCGGACGTGGAGCCCAAATGAGGCATGGCCATGGGTAAGACCATGAAGAGCCTTGTTCTGTTCTAGAAGGCTGGAGTGTAATCGAACGGGAAGGAAAGTGGGTCGCTATTCTTTCTCATTCTGGAGTCTGTAGAGTCTCCGAAATTCTCCTAAACCAGGTGTGCGCTATGACAGTACCTGACACCCACAGCACAGGGAACATCATGTTGTAAAACTCTTACCAAAGGGTCTGCCAAGCAACCCCTGACTCTTTGCATTCATTTAAGTTACAGCAAGACTCAGAGGGGATGGTGGCTGTTCTAACAGAACATAATACAAAAGGCAACATGAGAAAAGGGAATCTACCAAAGAGTCTGGCATTCAGAAAAGAGAGGTCACTTATAGGGTCAGTCAAGGCTTCATGAAGGAGATTTAATTGAAACTAATAACACTAAATCACTTCTACTTCACTGCCCAAGTCTTATGAAAAAATCTAAGATCTACCAAAAAACATTCTTAATAGCTCCCAAATGGAGACTATGCATATGCCCAGGAACAATAGAATGGATACACAGTGTGCCTGTCACACAGTAAAACACCATAAGCAATGAAATGAGTGATATATTGACTCTCACAAAGTGCTAAGTGAGGGAAACCAGACACA